ACTGCCCTATTTGAGTGCTATCATCTGTACTTGACGCCCAAGGTAGATTCATATTACTGCAATTTCAACATGACACCACCTATATTACGATTATAAATGTCTATGCCCCTAATGCTAATCAGCTGGTGCTTTTCAGGGATTCTATTTCCCCCCTGTTGTCATCTTCACATCCTTTTATGATTATTGGGGGAGATTTTGACTTAACTGTATCTCCCACTAAAGACCAGAGATCCCTTCTGGGCCATCTGCCTTCAAAACATGTTTTGAAACAATCCACTTCTTTTCATTAATGGATTAGAGGACACAAGTTGTTTGATGTTTGGAGAATACAGCATCCGGATGCCAAACAATTTTCATTCTTTTCCCAGGTACATCGCATCTATACCAGATTGGATTACTTTTTATCATCAGCCCCACTGCTTAAACAGACTGTTGACTCTGCTATTGTAATAGCTCCTGGTCTGACCATTCTTTTTTGGCCTTGGACTTTCTCATCAAACAAGTTCCCGCACATGCCATTGGCTTTAGAATGACACTCTTTTGTTTCAGGCAGATATCAACACCTCCATATCAGTGGCATTGCGTGAATTTATTAAACTTAATACTTGCTCGGTACCTAAATCCTTGACTGTATGGGAGGCCCATAAAGAGTTCATAGAGGTCGTTTTATAAATGGAAAGCTCACATCTTAAAAAAATCTTCAATCCATCAGAAGATGGATCTCATGCAACAATTATACCATGCAGAAAAAAAACTTGCACAGTCACCGTCTACCTCTGAACCTTTAAACTAAGGTTAGTTCTACAACTTAAAGATAAACTTAAAATGCTAGAGGCTAGCTTTTCAGCAAAAGGATTGTTGAGGATGAAACAGATTCTATCAATACGCTAATAAACCACATAGATTGTTGGTTAACAAATTGAAGGCAAACTCGGCTAGTACTGCCCCCTGAATTTTTGTTTCAAACAGATGGAACTCCCACGTTTTGTCCTCAACGGATAGCCAACGTTTTTGGTGATTTTTATCAAAAGCTTTATAATTGTTAATATAATTTATCCCCAGACATGCTCCCAGTGTTTAACAATTAATCCTTTGATGCTTTCATATCTGCTCTCCATCTTCCCAAACTTAAGCAGTAAGACAGGCTTATCTTAAATGCCCCTATCAGCATCAAAGAATTATGTGCAGTTGTTAAGGAATTGCCAATGCAGAAAGGCGCCAGGTCCTGATAGGTTTTCTTATGCTTAATATAAGTAATTTATTGCGGACTTGGGTCCTGCCCTGTTTGACCTATATTCCTCTCTGATGAAAGGAGAGGATCCTCACCCACACTTCCAACACTCCCATATCACGGTCATTCCCAAGTCAGGTAAGAATCCAGCTCCGGCCAATTACAGACCCATAGCCTTTTTGAAAACAAATTATAAAATCTTCAAGAAAATTTTAGCAAATCACTTAGCTCCCTTGCTGCCCAAAATCATATATATAATGATCAGGTGGGGTTTATTTTAGCGAGAGAAGCAGGTGATGTTTAACGGTACTAGACAGGCGTGCTCTTTATCCCCGCTTCTATTTGTGTTATGCCATCAGCCGTTAGCTGCGGATATAACGGGAGTAACTGCCAGAATATAAACTTTCACTGTTTGCGGATGATGTATTATTGACAATCACCAAACCCCACCTGTTTTGCCCATCTTACATAAACTTTTACAAGCCTTTAGTGACCTTTCAGGTTATAAAATAAACACTTCAAAGATGGAAGCTATGCCCCTTAGCATTCCATCCCAGGACCTTCAACTTCTACAACAAAATTTTCTGTATCACTGGTGTACCACTTCTATTAAATATCTAGATACTTATATAACCGCTACCTATTCCGATTTGTATGAAGTTAACTTTCCTCCCTTGTTTAAAGAAATTTATGTCCTCTTGAATTAGTGGGACACTTATGATATTTTCTTTTCTGGGTAGGGTAAATGTGTTGACGATGTCAATTCTATCAAAGTTACTCTACCTCTTTGAGACGCTCCCAGTAATGGTCCCACGGTCTCAACTTGCGGACCTTGCGCACGAAGCATGAAAAAATGAGGGAAGGAGCCTGCACATTGATGTCACGCCATCAAGGCCGCACAAAGGTCCGGCGGCCATCTTAGTGAGTTGTTTTATACTGTTTGTTTGTGCTCTCTATGTGGATACTCTGTACCTTTAATAAAATACTACACTATTAGCTGATTTTCTCTGGCTCTTTTGTGAGAGAACTCCTCAGGATTTCACATTGCGGTTTGCATGCTGCTTGGTGTCATCATCCCTTCCTGAGATCATCCTGGCCTTCATGGTCTTATGACTGATGGGTGTGCTGCCTGACTTACCTGGGGAAGAAACCAGCTGTGCACGCGCATTTTATATGCGCTTCTGGTGAGTGCATATAAAGGAATACTTTTCACGGATTCACCAGCACTGGATGTCACCTGTTCACGGATTTATTTTTTTCTGGACTTTTTTATAACTATTGTTTATCGCAATTGTGTCATTTGATATATATATATACTATACTATATACTGATATATATATCAGTCACTATTCATTTTATATCACCCAACGCTGACCACTCAGTGTCAGGGATACCATCACCACACTTATCAGTATATTCATTATTGCTATATTAATTATTCATGAACTCTTACACTTTAGACTGGTAGCGCTAATCAGAGCGCCTCACTGTGTTTGCTTTTGAATATTGCTGCTATTCGTTCTATTGCTGCTTCTAATCACCTTATCATCATTTATTATTTATGTATATGCACATGTTTTAGAAGTATTTCATTTGATTCATTCATTACTTTAGCGCTGCACCTTTTATATTTCATTCACTAGTGAGGATACCAAGAGCGGTCCTTTAGTGCCAGCAGCTTATACCTTTCTACACACCCATAGCGCTCACTGACACTCCATATACATTAGTTCAAAACAGATAGCTATTGTTAGATTTAGTATATTTTTTTTTTTTCAAAAGAAGGTAAAAAGAGGCAAAGAAATGGATTAGGTCTAAAGTAGTTTTACTAATCTTTAGTTGCCTTGGCATCTGATCTAGCTGATAATGCAAACAAAATACAAGTTAGTTATTAACTGACTGGGATAATCAAACTATGTAAAACTGAAAGTGAGTCTGTTATTCTAGAAATATTAGTACTCTCATCTTGGTTGTCAATCTAAATCTCCCCATTCCTACCAGCTCCACTACTGAATGAGTCATTGGCCTGAAACAAAACTTCAAGCAACTGAAGTTGTAGCCTCAGACATATTTGTTCTGGGTTAGTGACTCTCTAAATAGTGAAGTAGGAAACATAAACATGACAGGAAAAAAGGAAAATCTAAAAAAGTCAGCACTTATATTTCCATCATTGCAGGTTCACATTACTCTTGTTAATATATCAGCTCTTGAGGTATATAGCTTGAATAAGTACACTGTTTTATATTCTATTTTAGTGTAGCAAAATTATAGCTCTCCCCATTTTATACAAGACTAATGTGCATATATTTGCATATATATATATGCAAACAAGTTATTTTTTATGCACAGAGAGCAAATCTAAATGTTTTACTGCCCAATTAAAACAAAATCATCCCTAATTAAGTGAGTAATACCTGTCAGGTTTGTTAAAAACATTGACAATAAAAACATCCATATTATATATATATATATATATATATATATATATATACATACACAGTTTATTGCAAGATAAAAATAAAATGTGTATACTTTAGAATAGATTTATAATTTTTTTTTCCAAATTCACTATATAAATGGATATAATGAACAATGTAAATGCTTTATAAGGACAATGTCCCAATGCTGCAGCCACGCCCCCCCCCCCCCCCCGCAACAAAAGTGCACCGAGAAGTTCCCTGTACTAGCTCTCACTTTTCAAAAAGTGCGTGACCATGCTGGGCTCCACCCACACAAATGCATCATTAATTCAAAGAGTTTTGTGAATGAATGGACTACAAGTTCTGACTGCCTTAGCAGCTGTCGTCTTGTATTTCTCAATGAACTACCATTGCGCTGTGGAGTGCCGTCGTAGTTCATTGAATTTTCCTGCCAGTATATCTGCTTGCTCATACATCTTGTACAGACAAGCAGATATACTGATAGGTCTGCAGAATCTTCTGAACGCTGGTGCAATGGTTTACAGGTTCCTGCAATCAAAAATAATAAATACACATTTTTTTACCTGCAAAAAAAAGGGAAATTTATTATTTCTGGTCAAAAGGTGAACTTATCCTTTAACTGTCTTGTTGCTCAAAAAGTTTGCAACCCATTACATATTTTGGAGTTCTGAAAAAAAGAAAGAAAGGCAAGAGACAATAGCCGTCTCATTGATCAGTAAGGTTATTACATGTTGATTTACTAAAGGAGTGGAGCACACTCACTTCAGCTCACACGCTTCACCTGAAGAGGAAGTGAGGGAATTCTTTCAAAAAAGGGGCACAATAAAGAACAATAGCATAAACCTGAAAGAGGTTCTAACACCTTCATGATAGGCTCTTTAATAAAAATCAATTTGTTTTTTTTTTGTTTTTTGCTGTGTCCCAGTCAGGAAGGTTTGTCCTTAACCCCTTGCCTACAGGACACTTTTACCCCCTTCCTGCCCAGGCCAATTTTCAGGTTTCAGTGCTGTCACACTTTGAATGACAATTGTGCGGTCATGCAACACTGTACCCATATGAAATTTTTATAATTTTTTTGAGACAGATAGAGCTTTCTTTTGGTGGTATTTAATCACCTCTGGGTTTTTTATTTTTTGCAAAACAAACCAAAAGCCACTGAAAATTTTGAAAAAAAAAGTTTTTTCTTAGTTTTTGTTTTAAAAGTTTGTAAATAAGTGATTTTTTTTCCTTCACTGATGTGTGCTAATGAGGCTGCAGTGATGGGAACTGATAGGCTGCACTGATGGACACTGATAGGTGGCACTGATGAGGAGGCACTGGTAGGTGGCACTGATGGGCATTGACAGGCATCACTGGTGGGCATTCACAGACATCACTGATGGGCACTGAAAGGCAGCACTCATATATGGCACTGATAGGCGGCACTGACTGGCACTGTTAGGTGGCACTCACTGGCAATGTTAGGCACTCTCTGCGGGGGGTGTTTGTAGTCCTGCCCTATAGTGACAGGCAGCACTGACTGGCACTGATAGGTGGCACTGACTGGCACTGATAGGTGACACTGAAAGGCAGCTCAGATGGGCACTGATATGTGGCATTGATGTGCACTGGTAGGCACTGATATGTGGCATTGATGTGGCACTGATGGGCACTGGCAGGTAGCATTGATGAGCACTGACAGCTGGCACTGATGGACACTGACAGGTGGCACTGCTGGGGCTACACAGATCATCAGGGCACACTGATCATCAGTGCCCTGATGATCAGTGCACATGTCCCCTCTGAGTAATGTTGATTATCGGCTCTCCTCTCCTCACGAGCTGTCAGCGTGACAGCTTGTGAGGAGAGAAATGGAATTTCCCTATTTACATGTGATCAGCTGTGATTGGACACAGCTGATCACATGAATGAGCCGACATCTTCGGCTCTTTCCATTGATCGGTTATCCGCTGTGTCCGAGGGACACAGCGCACCACCGATCATCGCGCTGTGCATTCCCGGAGCTGTGCATGCGCGGTTAGAATGGGAGGATATCATAAGACGTCCTCCCAGAACGAGAGAACCGCCTTGTGCCCGTCATTACCTTATATGGCGGGTGGGAGGCGGTTAAAGTATGCCCTTTAAACAGACCACCTAAAGTTATTAACATATTATATAGCTTTATTTGGTACTTATATAAAAATAACTAGGGATGCACCGAAATTTCGGCCACCGAAACATACCGGCCGAAAATAGCATGCGGACAGGAAAAATTTAGCCGATACAGGTGTCAATATAGGAGACTGTGTGTACTGCAGATGTGAGGGGGCGGCTGAGAAAGGTAGGAGAGGAGCAGTGTATACAGTGACTGGCTGTCACTATATGTCAGTGCCGGTTTATAAATGTAATTATTGGCATTTTTTTTCTTTTCTATAGCTCACATAATTAGCTGTCACTTTCCCCCCAGATAAAAGAAACAAAGTTTCCTTTTAGTTTATTTCCCCAAGTTGAAAGAAGCAAAGTTTCATTTTAGTTTATTTCCCGAGATAGAAGAAACAAAGTCTCCTTTAGCTCCGGGGAAAGTGACAGCTAATTCTGTGAGCTATAGTGAAAAAAAAAAAAAGCTGGTAATTGCATTTAAAAATTGGCACTAACATATAGTGACAGCCAGTGAGGGAGCCTCTCTGTATACACTACTCCCTCACTGTATACACTGCTCCTCTCCTTGCACACATTGCCTCCCCCCTACAAAGAGGACCTGTCACTCATATGCTATCACATAGGGGACGTGTTAAACAAGCCTAGCACTAAGTTAACATCCCTGAAGAATGCCATTTTTGCATACTTGTGTATTGTATGTAAGCATTATGTAGTGTGTGTTTGATAAGGAAAGCATACATGTTAATATAGACTTCATAGATCCTATTCCTTAGTACAAAGAACAATTTACAGCACCAAGCGACATCTCCAAGTACTATCTAGTTAATCAAAGGTCCATGTGCCAAATGTAACAGACCATGTTGAAAATCTTACACTTAATGAGCACTGATCTGCCATTAGAAACTTAAAAGTCGATGACATTAAGAAAATGTAATGCTTCTGATAATGAGAAAAGAAATTCTTGACATTAACGATTCTGTGGGCAGAGCTGTCTATGTCAAACATAAGAATGACAAATTACTACATCTTCTCTATCCACCCATCTATCAACCAGAAAACTAGTTACAATTTGAGTCACATTCCACTCTAGTTATATAGTACATACAGTGTGTGTGTGTGTCTTTTTGAACACAGGTCCACTGATCTGGTGAACCTTTAGGGCAAGCTCACTGGAGCTAAGTTAAATATAAAAAAACTGTCATATCTAATTGTAACATACAGAATGTGTTACATTGTAACACATTAAATCTGTTAAAATGTTGTCAAATAAGAGTGTTAGCTGATCCACTTTTTTCAAAAGATGCTACAAGTCATGTTTTACAACCAGATCTCTCATGCTAATTTGTATGACAAAGTACTGTATATGTTAATACAATCTTCCAGGCCTTGTCACACAGGAAATGTAGTTGTTGATTGTTCTAGCTCTGCAGTATATTATCTGACATTTGAAGAATAGAAACACTCCAGATGCGTATACTGTACTGAAATAAATAGGGTTCTTTTAACTTTATTTATCAGCCAAGTGCTGCAGCAAACCCTGTGCTACCAGTGCAGCTGGACTGCAGCTCTCACAAACAAGCCTGTCTGCAATCCAACACACCTATTGAATTATGCTCTACTCAATATCACTCTCACTCCCTGAGCAGAGCTGTTGATTGGAGTGTTTCAAGGGAACATACTGGAAAGTTGGGCTGCCGTGATTGTCCTGATGCAGCCAGCATAGGGTTCCTTTAACCCTTGCAGCACCATTTAGCAGATAATAAAAAAAAAAGTAAAAATGTATTACTGTACACACAGCCTGACTGAAATAATACACAATACATAAATTATTCTGAATTTGTTTTAGCAGCATTTATTTAATTTTTAAATATAGTACAGAAAGTGTCATTTTGCTATTGCCCTTAAAAAGCTATTACATTTATACCAGAAGCGTTCAACAGGTACAGTTATTTTGCATTCTGTAGTCAGTTATAACTTATGCGCATTTGTATTTTGTGATAATATTTTTAACTTAATTTGGCAAACAGTTGTTATGCCTTGTGTCATAATATTTACTATATTTGTAATGTTACTTTTCAAACATGGATTCTAAGTTCTGCCTAATAAAACTGTGGGAAACAAAGGTAGAAATTACTACTAAAATAAACAAACAAGAAGCTGGTTTCCAAATGCAACAACTTATATAGTGTGCCCAGATTTTATTTCCAGTTTTTAGAAAGAGGACCCAACAAATAAAGTTAAACATAATGTTTGCTTATAACTATTTTTATAGCCATATAAATCTTTATATCGGTAAAATTTCTTGTTTAAAAGTCATTCTTGTTCTTTGTCAACTGCTTGATGTCAGTGTCAGTTAGCGTACCTTTCAGCTAGCACTAGATTGCCCGCCATCACTATCACAGTCCGACTATAGGTTGCTGTTTACCACCCTTACCAGTTTAGCATCAATGTTGCATACATTCCTGTATATATACCATTATTATTATTATTATACAGAATTTATATAGCGCCAACAGTTTGCTCAGCGCTTTACACTATAAAGGGAGACAATACAGCAACAATACAGAGGGGTAGGAGGGCCCTGCTCCTTGGAGCTTACAATTTAGGAGGGAGGGGTTAGTGGTAAAAAAGGTAATAACTGTGGGGGATGGACTGGTAGGAAGAGTAGAAGATTTCATTATTATCTGAGGGCAGGATAGGCTTCCCTGAAGAGATAGGTTTTCAGAGATCGCCTAAAAGTGAGCAGAGTAGGCGATAGTCTGATAAATTGGGGTAGAGAGTTCCAGAGATGGGGGAAGCTCTAGAGAAGTCCTGGAGATGAGCATGGGAGGTGGAGACAATGGAGCTAGAGAGCAGGAGGACTTGTGAGGAACGGAGAGTACGGTTTGGGTGATATTTGAAGACAAGATTGCTGATGTAATTTGGGGCAGAGTTATAAATGGCTTTATATGTTATTGTTAATGTTTTGAATTTTATCCGTTGGGCAATGGGAAGCCAGTGGAGGGATTGGCAGAGAGGGGTGGCTGATACAGAATGGTTAGTAAGATGGATGAGTCTGGCAGCAGCATTCATGATAGACTGAAGAGGGGATAGCCTGCGATGAGGTAGGCCAATGAGGAGGGAGTTACAATAATCAAGGCGAGATATAACAAGGGAGTGAATAAGTTGCTTAGTGGTTTCCGAGGTTAAGAACGGGCGTATATTGGAGATATTGTGGAGGTGAAGTCTACAAGATTTGGACAGCGATTGGATTTGGGGCTGAAAGGACAGATGGGAGACTAAGATTACACCTAGCACCCTGACATGAGGGGAGGGACTGATGATTGTGTTATTGATTTTGATGGAGAAGTTAGGGGAGGGGGCATGGGCTGGAGGGAATACTAAGAGCTCAGTTTTGGAAATATTGAGTTTGAGGAAGTGGAGTGACATCCATGCCGACATGTCGCTTAGTAGGTTAGTAATGCGAGAGGAGACTGAAGGGGTGAGATGAGGGGTAGAAAGATAGATTTGTGTGTCATCAACATAGAGATGGTACTTAAAGCCATGGGAGTTTATCAAGTGAACAAGGGAGGAGGTGTAGATGGAGAAGAGTAGGGGCCCAAGGATGGAACCTTGAGGGACCCCTACAGAAAGAGGGAGTGAAGAGGAGGAGGCAGCATTATAAGTAATGCTGAAGGAGCATTGCGATAGGTAGGAGGAGAACCAGGAGAGAGCAGAGTCTCGGAGGCCAAGAGAGTGAAGTTTTTTAAGGAGGAGGGGATGGTTAACTGTATCAAAAGCTGCAGAGAGGTCGAGTAGTAAGAGTACGGAGTAGTGGCCATTGGTTTTAGCAGTTAATAGGTCATTAGTGAGTTTTAATAGGGCATTTTCAGTGGAGTGTAGTGAGCGAAAGCCAGACTGTAAAGGGTCAAGAAGGTTGTTGTCAGTGAGGTAGGAGCTCAGGCGATTGTAGACTAGGCGTTCTAAGAGTTTAGAGGTAAATGGGAGCAGGGAGATGGGTCTTAAGTTGTTCAGGTTGGTGGGGTCCAGGGAGGGTTTTTTTAAGTATGGGAGTGATGTGTGCATGCTTTAGAGGGGAGGGGAAGGCACCGCTAGAGAGCGAGAGATTGAAGATGTGAGTGAGGGAGCATAGGACAGAAGAGGGTGACCATAGTAGTTGTGAGGGGACAGGATCCAGGGGGCAGGTAATGAGATGGGCTTCTGAGAAAATCTGAGAAAACCTTAGTGACCTCTTCAGGAGTAGCAAGGTCAAAAGAGGAAAGTGTTGAGGGAGGTTTAGTATAAGGTATGCTAAGTGGGATGGATGTCTGTGCAGTGGCGATGCCCCTACGAATTGCATCAATCTTGCTTTTGAAATTATTTGCAATCTCGTGAGCAGTGAGTGAGGTGCTGGGTGGAGGTGAAGGTGTAGAAAGTAGAGAGTTAAAAGTAGAGAAGAGACGACGAGCACTGGATGATATGCTATTGATGAGAGTGACAAAGTAGGCTTGTTTGGCAGCATGGAGGGATGAATTGTATGTTAAGAAAGCAGCTTTATACAGGGTGAATGCTTGGTGAG